TACCGACTTTCCGATGTCAGTCTTATTTAATTAAAATGATTACTTTTTATTTATCTTAAAATTTAATGTGATATCGACCTCATGAGGTCGGTATTTTTTATTTAATCTAATTACTTCTAATAAAAGCGATATTCGGAGGTCGGTTTGTTTAAAATATTCCTATTAATCATAATTTTGCTATTGTGCATAATACTAAATTTTCATTTTACACCTACAATTAATTGTTTCAAAAAGTGTAACAATTTTGTATACTTTTATAAATAAAAAGTTAGAATTCGTGGAATAAATAAATAAATATCAATAATCCATATTGAGAGTATGAAACTACGTTGATATGAATTAAGAGATAACTATACTTATATTTATAGAGTAATGTACAAATTCTATCAGTCTGTCGTCAAATCATGAACTTAATATCTCATGTAATGATGTAGAGGTGAAGAGCTACATATAATCCATTCGAGTATGAAATGCGAGATAATACTCGTAGAAATGTCATGATAACAATTAATTAAATTTTATATTTATAATTAACTGTTTAATTATTTGTATGTATAACCTTCAATGTCTTATCTCATTTAATTATGAAATAGATAATAGAACATCGTAAATTACTGTACAAAGCAAGTTCTATCAAGATTATTACGTTCGATCTTGAATGTATGTCAAGTTTAATGATCATATCGTAGACAATGACATGTAAAGGATAATTCATCGGAGTATGAAATATGTTGATTATATACTCCTCGAGTAGTTTAACAAATCAAGTCTTATATATTAGTGGTTCAAATATGAAATATATTATTAATTAAAGAAATACCGTTGATCAATTCAAGGAGATTTATATATTAAATTTGATATTGATAAACTTTTGCTGACTGATAAAATTAAATTTATATAATTAGGAGGTATATAATTTAAATTTATAGAATTAAATTTATTAAATTAAACTTCAGAGGGATGTAAGGGAGCCACTACGAAGAAGTTTCGGGAGTTACGAAGGAAGCTTTTGATTTTGGTTTTCGTATCATGGATCTTGGGTTGCGCTTTATGGCATTTTCACTATAAAAAAAATTCAATCCCACAAAGAATTGTTCATGATGCGCAGTTAAATTAAATTTATATATATATATAATTTTAATTAATAAAATCAACCTCGAGGTGAGTTTTTATTAAAATAAATTAATAAATACCAACTTTAAAAAATTGGTATATTTAAATAATATCGACTTCACGATGTCGATATTTATTAAATATTTTTAAATATAAATAATTAGTTTAAAAGATACCGACATCCTATGGTCGGTGAATTAACACTTCCTTTTAAAAAAAATTTAAACGAATAATAATATCAAAACCTAACTCCTAAACCTCTCTCACTCCTCTTTCACACCCACCCATCCCCGATCGGCGCCCATCTCCACCCATTTCGACCGGCGCTGCCTCGATCAGCAGCAGCAGCAGGTAGCAGCAGCAGCGCAGAGGCGGCAGCAGCAGCAAACTCCGGCAGCAGCAGTTTCTTGGTTGGTTTCTATCATCTCTTCCTCTTCGCATATCCATCTCAATATCCTGTAGTTAACAAAATGGAATTCCAAGTAAATGAAACTGTGAAATACATACAGAATGTGCAGCCTATGTTAGTAACTAACCTTTCTTGTAAGTAGGTAGAATTTGCAAAGTAGATAGGAGCTTCTACAGCTAGTATCAGGAAAGATGGAATTCTAACTGCTGTTCTATATCTGTTCATGTTTTGATATACATGAGTTCCAGGAATATTGCCCAAGACACCAGTATTTGGCCTTGTGACATGCAACAAGATCTTAAAAACCGAAACTCCAACCTAAAATTTCATCAGTAAAAAACAGAAAATATTAGTTAGGTAAGATCAGAAGGACTTAAAATCTGAAACTTTCGAGGGGATGCTTACTGCAATGGCTAGGCTGAGATGACAATGGGGGTGTAATAGAACAGTGGCATTAGAAACAGCAGGGTGATTAGCACAGCTGTAGCCCCAGCATTGTAATTTACTGCTGATCGAGAAAATGATCCTGTAAAAGTAAAACTTATCTAGGTAAAACAGAACAGAAAATCTTACTTATATCTATAGATAGCTAAAACCACAGGCCAATAATGCCAAGGGCAGAGATCCCTTGGCGTAAGTTTTTTTACTTTAATGCCCTTATTTAAATTTCTGACTCCGTGATTGAATCAGTTGGTACCTGTTGTAACATAGCAAGAAGAACAGGATCCAGCCATGTTCATTAGTCCAATAGCCATCATTTCTTTGTTTCCATCAACTTGGTAATTCTTCAAAGCAGCAAATGTCCTTCCTACTGCAATCCCTTCCTGTAAGTCCACAAAAATGTTGATCACGAACCACCACTCGTAATGGATAAAAATGACTTACTGTGAGTGCTAAGATCCCGGATACAATGCCAGTTTTGATGGCAAGAGGCAGATAAGGACCACTCAGATATAACATGTTCATTGAGGATGGATGTAGACCCTTTGGCAGATGTCCAATCTATGCAAAATCGATTTGTGTCCATCTAGTGTTAACACTTAGCTTTAAATTTAGAAATAATATATTTGTTAAGCATAAGTACCAACACTAGTTGATCCTATTGATGACAGAATTGATTTTCTTGCAAGATTGATTTGTGTCCATCTAGTGTTGTTACTAAGCTTTAAATTTAGAAATAATATATTTGTTAAGCATAAGTTCCTACACTGGTTGATCCTATTGATGACAAAATTGATTTTCTTGCAAGATCGATTTGTGTCCATCTAGTGTGTTACTAAGCTTTAATATAGGAATAATGCGTTTGTTAAGCATAAGTACCAACACTAGTTGATCCTATTGATGACAAAATTGATTGTCTTGCAAGATCAATTTGTGTCCATCTAGTGTTGATATTAAACTTTAGTTTAGAGATAATGTGTTTGTTAAGCATTAGTACCAACACTAGTTGATCCTATTGATGCCAAAATTGATTTTCTTGCAAGATCGATTTGTGTCCATCTAGTGTTGATACTAAGCTTTAATATAGGAATAATGTGTTTGTTAAGCATAAGTATCACTGTACCAACACTAGTTGATCCTATTGATGACAAAATTGATTTTCTTGCAAGATCAATTTGTGTCCATCTGGTGTTGATATTAAACTTTAATTTAGGATAATGTGTTTGTTAAGCATAAGTACCAACACTAGTTGATCCTATTGATGACAAAATTGATTTTCTTGCAAGATAGAATAACATCAATTGAATCATAATAAAAAAGACTCATGGAGATTGACATAAACCCTAATTAAATTTGGTGAAATTGAATTGGAGATTGAAGTTCTTTTGTGACCCAATGGATGAAAGGGATCCATTGATGGATTTCCACATACCTTGATAATCAAAGCCTAATGAAAGAGATTGAGGTTGTGACCTTGAAACTTGAAACCCTAGCTTTCACCTTGAGCTTGAGAGAGAATTGGAGGGGATGAACTTGGAGGGAATTTGTAAATTTGAGTGAATGTGAGAGAATGAGGGATTTTTGAAGGGTTAATTTAGTTATAGGGGTAGTTATATGGTCAAAACGATATAATTTAGGGGTTAGGTGGGTAGGAAAAGACCAAATTCGTAGGAACTGTGTTGAGTTTTGAGATTCAAATCCCAGTTTGTTGATCTATGGTTGATCAGGACGACTCGTAGGATGACATACGGGCCGTAGGAAATGCCCGTGGAGGTGATCCAGACTTGGTAAAAATATGTTATACTGAAAGATTTTTTTTAGAAAAAATAATAAAGGATGGGGATTGTCGGGGGAGGGGGGGGAGGTGGTGGAGTGGGGTAAGAAAAATAATTTAATTTTTTTTTTGGATTGTAATACTTTAATCTTTAATTTTAACTAATATTAATAGTTTATTATTTAATTTTTGTCAATGTGAAATATTTTATCCATTTGAAATGCCATGTGTCAAGGTTTTTTCAAATAAAAGAGAGAGCATATTACACACACCACTGAGGTGTGTTTCTCAAACTAATAAGTGATAGTTTAGGTATGAAACTCACAATCTCAATAGTTACGTATGAAACTAAAAAAAAAGGATAGTTTAGGTGTGTTTTTTACACTTATCTCCATGTTATTGATGTAAATTATTAGTTTCGTTTTTGAACTATTGACAGTCTTAAAAACACCTTTCAACTTGATTAATTAAATTTTAATACACTCTCGATATGCAACATGACATAATAAATGGTTTCAAACTCTTGTAAGAGTATAATACTCTTAATAAAAAATTAAGTGTTGAAAACACCCCTAAACTTGATGAGAATTTAAGGGTGTATTTTACTCATGTTGTAAGATTAAAGATGAATTTAAATTCAGTTAGTCAAATAAAAAAATATTTTTTAAGCCTGTCAATAGTTTGAAGAATGAAACTAATAATTCTGACCGATTTTTGGAGATACTTCTCTCTTTGAAATTCAAACAACATACTTGACATTTTTATCTTTTAAAAACAAAAAATATAATTAACAAATAAAAGAAAATAATTAACTGTTCTCTAAAAAACCTAAACAAAAGAGACTATTCTATCCCTGCAGTTTTTGCTGTTGATTATCACTGTGCCACTGTCAAACACTTCCCACCGCCGACTGTCCTCCGTTCGCCGGATCCGAATATTCAAACTTCTGTCGTCAGCGGTGACTCTTTCTAAATTCTATCTCTTTCTCTTCTTCCTTTCTTCATTTGTTTGCCTTTTAATCTGTGAAGGTATATTTGGTATATACATGATTTTTTTGATGTTTGGGACCGGAAAAGTGATTACATGATTTTTCTTTTTGAAGTTTATGAGTTTTCCAAGCTATTGGAGTGTTATTTTTCAAATATAGTGTCGATAATGCACCTGAGGTTTAGCAGTAAATATTGGCTACGGGATGCAATTCAAACCTAATTGAATACGTATTGTAGGGCTCGAGTAGACAGAAATGGTAGCTTAACATGTCTGTTGAGCCGAAGGGAAGGAAAATTGATGGTGAATCTCCACGCAGTTGTTTCATTCGACCGCCAAAAAGGAGAGCTACATCGGTGATTGCAGCACAAACAAGCAACATCAATCCCAAGCAACTACATGATAGGAATTCTGCAGTAGCTCAAGCACAACAAGACGGATGCACTGGCAATTTTAGGATATTTGATTCTCCATTCGGAAATTTTCTTGTACCTGTAATTCCAACTCATGCGGAACTGGCCGGATCGGATAATCCATCCATGCTTTTAAGTAAAGGTAATCTTTTGTTGTGACTAATGGTGTGGTAGCTGTTGATAAAATTTGCAAAAGAATTAGGGATTTAGGCATATAATTTAGAGAGAAGTATTGAAAACACCCTTAAACTCGGCACGGATTATTGGCAACCTTAAAAACACTCATTTAGTTGACTAAATGAACTTAAATATACTCTTGATCTTGCAACATGAGTGAAAATCACCTCTAAATACTCGTCAAGTTTAGGGTATTTTCAACACTTTTTGCTTTTTATTAAGAGTTTCACTCTCTTACAAGAGTTTGAGACCACTTGTTATGTCATATTGCACATCGGGGTGTATCTAAGTAGAGGGGTGCTTTTAAGGTTGTTTGTAGTTCGGGGACAAAACTAATAATTTGCTCCAAGTTCAGGGGTATTTTCAATACTTCTCTCTAGAATTTAAGGAGGAGGTTGATATTTGAAGTGAAACAAAACATATTCTTCTATCTAAAACTAAAAACACAAATAAGTTTGTTATAGTTGAGCTATTTATGTGATTGAGTTAACTATTTTTAAGTATATAACTATGGCATACTTTTTTTTTTTTTCAAATTAATGATAGATGTAGCACTTAGTTCTAGAGTGGTTTAGATGCTCCTTTTCCTCTGTCCTGGCTTGAACATGCTACATTTGATGCAATTATTTGTTATCATACATTCATTGAACTGCATATTTAACAGATCTCATACCAAAGTGTCGGGGTGTCGCTCATTTGCTAATTATCCTGTGTTGGTTTAGCTTCCTGAAAAATTACAGCAATAGTTGATCCATTGAAGACATTCTTTTTTTGACTAAAGTACGTGCTAGTTGCATAAAATAATCTTTGGATGTATTATTTGATCTTCTTTGAATACCTGGACTGAGGTGCCTTAATTTCTTCTTGTTATCTCTGGTATGCAAATTGTAGCACTTGCAAAATTTCTAAATATTTCCTGCCTTTTTCTGTCACTCATGCTAGCAGGTGATTAAATCTAAGAATCAGAACTGATTTTTTCATAGTGTGGAACCTCGGTGACTTGGAAGATAACAGAGTAGAACAGGGATATGTCATTGAGCCAGAAAGTCCTCTACTTGAAGGCTTGGCAAAGATGCTTGCGGTCTCCATGGCTAATCCAAACCTATTCTTTCTCAGACATTGTCCACAAGAAAACAAAGCTTGCTCCTCTGCAGGTTCGTGATGCTTCCACTTCTCTCCCTCTATGAGTACTGCTTTCAGTATATTCACTTTTATACCCCAGTACGTATTTGTCTGTTTATACAAGTTTTCATACAGGAACGTAGAATGATTGACCGCTTTCGCATATGGGCCAAAGGAGGTGATGGTGGCAACGGTTGTAACAGTATTCGTCGTAGTCGACATGATCGCCGTGGCAGACCTGATGGTATGTTCTCTAATCTCTTTATACCTCAGTGGTGGCAGGGAGGAAAATATATTACTAGTTGACGTCCATCTTGCATCTTCTGTTCCTTTTCTTTCCCTATTGAAGTTTTACCCGTTCTTTAATCTAGTTCTTGTTCTTCTCTTACATTGCTCTTTTTCTCCTTTAATTTTCTTTCTTTTATTACATTGATTGACCGTACATTTCATCTGTTGGTTCCCAAAAGATCTTTTGGTCAACTATTCTCTTTTACTTGACATGATGGACATATACAAGACGACCTTCTTGATTACTGAATAAACAATCAAGATACTGTCAACAATCAAGGTAAACACCAAGTAACCAACCAATGGAAAATTATAAAAGTTAGACAAGCAATATGTCATATATGTATCCTGAATTTAACATATCAACTGTTTACTAGTAAAGTTTGAGCTATAAACCAACTATTCCGGAGACTTTAGCTCCAAGACTAACTACTTCATTTGTTGGTTGGATGAAATGCTTGTTTGGAGTGAAAACTCAGGAAACACGAAACCAATTATTTGTAGAGTTAGAATTCTCCAAAACCTCAATTACAGAAAGAGAAATACAAGATTGAAAGAAAATAAAGAAGAAAGTCATTCACCACAATGGAAAAGATAGTTTTACTTTGTTCACTTGCCTTGAGAGAGGAATGTTAACCTGAGGGAGAAGGAGAAATGTAATTTAGTTTGATCTGCTTTAAGCAAGTTATTGTAACTCAACTTTTATAAGGACAGGGATTAAGAAAGCTGAAGGGTAGGTTTATAAAGAGCTGAAAATTGCAAGTCCGGTAGTAGGGTATATGGTTCAGGGGTAATATGGTATGCGACGGCAAAAACAACAAGGTCCATGGGTTTTCCAGTGAGAAGTATAGTGCACAATTAACCCATTTAAAAACTCCAAACATACATGAACTTGGTAAATATAATGATCAAATTGCAATTGAAGTACTTATTTCAGCATCCGACTGATACTAATCCGACTCTTCAAGTTTGAGATTCAAAAAACCAATCACTTCTTGTTGGGATCACTTTGTGCATCATTGTTTTAGGTGCACACTTCCTTGAAGCACATGCTTCACTCCTGAAACGGTTTCCCCCACTTCGCATTGGTTCATCCCTTTTAGTGACGAAACGATGGCTGTTAACAACACTGACCTAAAGAATGTCTTTTCATTCTTGCCTCCTAGCTAAAGTTGCTCCACTTTGTTTTTCAGAGAATTTCCCGTTCCCAAAAAAGGTTTAGTATCTTTATATGTTCCTAGACTTTCATTTTCTTTTTACCTTTATAATTTTATTGCTTCTTCTTTTCCTTCTATTTTCTTCATACATTTTGTTTTACCAATGTAACTCATTTTATGATATGCAGTCAAGCTTGATTTGCTATGATGATCAGCTGTGGGGTTTCCTCTTTTCTTTACCTCCTTTTTGGACTGAATGCAGGTGGGAATGGTGGACGGGGTGGTGACGTGATATTAGAATGTTCCCCTACAATGTGGGATTTGAGTGCTCTGCAGCATCACATTGTATGTTTTCTTACCTACTGCACGACATCTGTTGCACAATTAACTATTAATTGAATTTACCCTGTTACTGATTGATATCTGATTGCGTAATTGTTTGTGACATGTTTCAGAATGCAAAGAGAGGCGGAAATGGGTCTTCCAAAAATATGATAGGAAGCAGAGGAGCAGACAAGGTAAATTTTAGTCTCTCTTGAGTCTTTGGTATATGTAAATCGTTTGTCTTAATCAAACCTAAACTAAGGACGTCTCGCTTGTGTGGCAGGTGATCCAAGTTCCTGTTGGTACCGTCATTCATCTAGTAGAGGGTGAACTTCCATCTGCAGTAGAGAAGAGTTCAAGTTCTAAATTGGACCCTTGGGAGATTCCAGGTACAGTTGATACTGATTCGTCAGAGTTGTCTACACAATCAATTTCGGCCGACCAAACCAGTTCAAAAGTTGAGAAGAAAGTCAAATCATGTGGACGTCGAGCTTCTCGTGGTGAAGAATACTCTACACCTAGGACACAAATTTTTGGTTTGCCAACCAATTCCCGCACTACGTGCTCAATTGCTAGCGACAAATTCGAAAGTGATGATGATGATTTGAGTGATTGGGAGGAAGAAAGCTGTGGACAAATGGAAGATCAAGATGGTGATGATATTATGGGAACAGAATGTGAAGATGAGTTGGAAGAAACTGAACTTATAGAATACAATGTGGCAGAGTTAACAGAACAAGGCCAACGAATAGTTGTTGCTCGTGGAGGGGAGGGTGGCTTAGGCAATCTGTCTATGAGGAAAGCATCAAAGATGATGCAAAAGGGAGCCAATTCTGATGATGAAGTATCTGACGATTATGATCATGCATCACCAAGTGTTGGCTTGCCTGGCTCAGAGGTGGTACTTGTGCTAGAACTAAAGAGCATTGCTGATGTGGGTCTTATTGGGATGCCAAATGCCGGCAAAAGCACCCTTCTCGGGGCATTGTCAAAGGCTAAACCTGTTGTCGGTGATTATGCATTCACAACATTGAGGCCTAACTTAGGTAACGTAAATTACTACGATTTTTCTTTAACTGTAGCTGACATCCCAGGACTCATAAGAGGAGCCCATGAGAATCGTGGTCTTGGGCATGCTTTCCTTCGGCACATAGAACGTACAAAAGTTCTAGCCTATGTGGTAGACTTGGCTGCAGCACTGGGTGATAACAAGGGAATACCACCATGGGAACAGCTAAATGACTTGATTTTGGAACTGGAGTACTATTCTGAGGGTTTATCTGATCGACCATCCTTAGTGGTGGCTAACAAAGTCGATGAAGATGGGGCTGAAGAGGTATATAAAGAACTTAAACGCCGTGTATCTGGTGTGCCTGTTTTCCCAGTTAGTGCAATCCTAGAGGAAGGAGTACCAGAACTGAAAGATGGTTTGAGGATGCTTATCAGTGGTGAACAAACACACAGGCTAAAATTAGATGGTATAGTTCTTCACCAGAATGCTGCTTCTGCGAGCATCTAGTCTTGTATCCTTTCCCTTGCAATGAAATATTATTTTGACTCAGAAATAAAGTTGCGTAGTTTCGTTTAGCACATTATGAAGTGAACGATCTCTTAGACCACTTACAAATTAAATAGAAAAAATGACGACTTTATCAGATTAGGACAAACTAAAAAAAAAAAGTATGTAAAGAGCTACAAAATCAAATCTCTGCGTTATGAATAACCAATTGTGTGTTTCATTTACAAATCTCTCAAATGAGTTTAAAACTATGGCAACAATACTTGATAATGTATATATATTATATTGAAATAACTTAATTTTGAATACGATTTATATTATGTAGTCTGTCATGGAGCCAATCAGATTAACAAATTGTAGTAGTATAGTAAAAGTAAGAATTTTAAACTTTTTATCGTGTAAGAAATTGTGATATGCTTCTCTTTTTATTAATTAGTGCAAAAGAAGAAAATATATGCTTCCTCTTTTGGTAAAAGATACTTGAAAGCTTTTGTATGCAATTTCAAAAGCAAAAGGGGGATTGATGAGTGATAAAAACATCACTTTGAATGGCTGAAAACTAAAGTATAATAAGGAACTTTTTATTGGTATGTCATATCATCATCTTAAAAGAATGAATAATTTTTATAAGCATCCACTAATGGTGGTAGAGATGAAGAACTTATTGTGTCATAATCCTGATAAATGAATATTTTGATTTTATATATTTATTGAATAATAATTGCTAAGTCTTGATGATTTGTGAACAATATGTATCGAAGTTATTACACAATTTGTACTTAATTTGTCATAACTTGTGAAAAATGCAAGTCTGTTATCCATCGAACTCCTAATAGATTCATCAAGACTTATGAACAAGTACTAAAATCTTGACGATCCGTCGGTACTAATGCAAGTTAGACAAGTTTTGCATTGTAATATTGTAGTGAATTTTGAAGAATTATTTTAGGTATCATGAATGAAATATAATACTTAAAACATTATTTACCTTCATTATGGTGCTTCCTTTCGGTGCTTGTATCCAAACTTTTATAAGTACATTTTTAATGAATTAAAGCGATAAAAGAATTATATTTTGTGAAATCCTCGCAACAAGACCATTTTGCAACTTTTCAAGTACTTCATCCTAAAAGTCATCACCAAACAACTGTGTCAAACTAATAACGCTCTAATTAAAAACATTTTCTAGGATCGTGCAACTATAAATTAATCAGATGTTATATGGAGAATTTAACAAAGACATTTTCTTGTGTAATTACCTAGATTATATAAAATTCCAAATAAGCCTACTTTGATTGGTTGTATCGATACATATAATCTTGTCAATGTTTTTTTAACAATATTTTAAATGTAAATAATATTCTATATTAAGCAAATCACTTTCCACAAGTCTCCCAACGTTACGATGCCAATTGGATAATGTTTTTTTTTTAATTATTAATATTAAAGCCAAAAAAAGAGAGTCTATAAATCCTATATTGATGCCCAACGCAAACGTCACGTCAATGTTCAATTTTTCCTTTTTGTAATAAATGCTTATTATTATAACTTGTCGCAAATTATTAGTTTCGTCCTCGAATTATTGATAGTCTTAAAACACTTCTCTACTTGACTAACTAAAATTAGATACACCTTTCTAATAATTCTCGCCGAAATATAGCGATATTTTCAATACTTCTGAAAAAAACTTTCAAGATCATAATTTAGACCATATTCTCCTCTATTGTCATTTATGAATTATAAATATAACTTTATAGGTAGTGCAATTTATCTCCTATAAAATACAAAACTTCATTAAAGGAAAGGATAAATATGAAAAATAATAATTTAACATATATATGAACTTTAAACAATTCAATTATTCTGAACAATGAAAAAATCCCAAAAATTCACTTAATATGAAATAGAGGGAGTACATAATAAGTTAATTGCACTAATAATCCTTGAAGTTCATTTAGATTTGCACTTTTCAAACGATAATTACCGCTCTTAAAACCTACTTTCTTCATCCCAATTCATGTGATGTAGTTTAGCTGTGCACGAAATTGAATAAATATGAAAAAAATTCTTTGATATTTAGTAATATAGTTACTTTTTTTTATATAATTTAAATTTTCTAAATAAAATTCTAATTCCTAAAAAAAACTATTAAACATATGTCAACTTGTTAGGCTCACAATCACCAATTTTATCCTCATTTCTCCTATAAAAACCCCAACTCTATGCTTCACTTTTAATCATAACTACAACAAAAACTTGCTTTTACTCACTAAATTTCTTTTATATCTCAAACAACAAATTAATTAAAAAAAAACATGTCTTGCTGTGGAGGAAGTTGTGGTTGTGGATCTGGCTGCAAGTGCGGCAGTGGCTGTGGAGGGTAAGTGTTAGATTAGAGATTATTATTTCACTCGAATAATCGACTTTTATCGAACTTCAAATTCTCTATTTCAAGTTGACGTTGAAATAATGGACATAATTAAAAAGCAAACATATATAAATTTGCAAATAATATACAATGTCTATCAAAACTTGTTAACATATATAAAATGATCCCTTGATTAATAGTTTTTATCTGAGAAATCAACTCTACCGTTGATCAAATGTTTATTGTAGATGTGGTATGTACCCGGACATGGAGAAGTCCACCACCTTTACCATCATTGAAGGTGTTGCACCTATCAACAAGTACGTACGACTATTTTTTGTTGTTGTTTAAATTGGTAAATTAATTAAAGACTATATATATTTAGAACAATTGGAAGACTAAATTAAAAAGATTACTTCATTGTAATATAAATAATATAATTTTGTAGCTATGGAAATGTTGAGGAGAAAGCAGCAGGAGAAGGATGCAAATGTGGATCAAACTGCACTTGTGACCCTTGCAATTGCTAAGTTGATGTATTCATGTGTGTCTCTACTAAAACTATGCTTTAAGAGCTTTTATTTTCTGTAATAATAATGATAAGACTACGTGTCTTTCTCTAATTGGTATATTTCTGGAGTGTGATTTGAGGTTGTAACAAAAATGCATCATCACATCATCTATATATACCATTTAAGTTTGTTTAATTTGTAGTTGTTTCTGAAATATCTCATATTTGTTTCAATTGCAATCTTAATGTGTAATGAATTTTGAGATATATATATATATAGTCTATGTACGATAAAAGAAAATTAAAAAATATTGAGGGTAGGACGATAGGTGATCAAAGGTAAATAAGAGAGGGGATTACAAAAAGTTCAGGTAGTCAACTGACTAAAAATTCTCCAATCCCGTAAGTTTTTACTCGTCACATTGGATATCTCTTGCATTTTATTTATTTTGCACCCATTTGAACTTGTGCTTGTGTTTGAGGTGTTCTCTCAGTAGATTTGAGAATATTTATAATTGGGTGTTGTTGTCTTAGTACATTTGTGTGCTGATGAGTTAGAATATTAGTTAGATGTAATAGATGAATTTTTTGGCTGTTCTATTTATTTATTTATTCATAGATTAATAAAATCCTCCCTTTCCATGTTACTATTGTAAGCCACAAAATAATTGAAAGTCCAAGTTCTAAAATCATTTTTTTTCGCAAATAAATTTCATTTGGAATTGGATGATATTTCAAATGAATTGAAACGTCAAAGGAAGTCGAATCTAAAATTTGTGGCTGAGCGTTTTGAAGTTATAGTCGGATTGTACCAAATTTTACATTGAAATTATATTATAACTGTATGTTGAGTTGTATAAATTATATTTTAAGTTGGTATGTCATTGTTATTGTATTGAAAGTTGTATACAATATTGTCGTAGTTGTATTAAATATCCAGCAATCAACATGATTTATATAATATTTATACAGTTATATACATATAACATACAAAATTTATATAGATTATACATGAACCATGAGTGCAATTACATGTTTAGTAGTTTTTTCTTCCAAAAATCTAATATGAGCTTTATACAAAATTGATACAGTTATGTACATATTTTATATCTATTTTATACACAAAAATTATGAGTGAAAGACTAAACCTTGAACGAGATATTACATATTTCATAAATATTTTATAGAGTTTTCATATATATACGAAAATTGTGAGTGTAATTTGTTATCTCCTGTATTCAGATTAGCAAACCAGAAATAATAAAAAATGAAAAGAAAAACACAAAGACCTATCCGAGTCCACAGAACCCACTGTGTCCTTAAGAAATTTAATCCCCTCAAGTACCCGAGGTTGCAAATTAATTCCTCCCAAGATAAAACGGATTAACCATTAAAGAAGTAGCGGTACCTCAAACTTCGATAATTTCAACGAACTCAAAATGACAGCAACGAATCACACACACAGACACGATCGATCAATTTTGTTTTGTAAGAAATGTATGCAAAAGAAGGGAAGAATTCGATACAGAAAAATGAGAGAAAACCTCTCTATTTATAGCCAACAAAGGGTAAAGGTCACAATCCTTTGGAAAGAAGACAACCTTTCAGAAAGGTCACAACACTTTGGAAAAGGCATAACCTTTCAAATGGTCACAATTCTTTAGAAAGGACACAACCTTTCATAAAGTTCACAACCCTTCTTCAGGAGAGTCACAACCCTTCATTTCCTGTTCACACCTTTAAAACCCAACATAATTTTAAAGCTTGAGTGAGATATACATATTTCATATCATTATATAGTGTTCATACACAAAATTTCGTGTGCAAAATTCGAACTGTGATTTGGTATATATTTTTAAAAAATTCCTCCATGTGTATATGTAAATATCGTTAAATTCATGTCTGTTAACTGTTGTTCGTTTATATATTGTTCATTCTTACACACAAAACGTTATAAAATTATTTAACATATATACTAACTTATAAAATTTTAGATCGCGATTAAAAACTTCTTATAAAATTTTCAAGTCTGTTTATAAGAAATTTATGGACAACATAAGTTGCACGAAGATTTCAGGTTAACAAGGGTTGTTGGCCCAAGACTTGCCCAAAAATTTATAGGAAGCCCCAAGAAAAATGGAAAAAACATAACTAGGCAATTTTAAATAATATTAATTCATTATTAATTGTGGCACCAAAAATATTTATCTTTCTTGATGTTTATAGTATTAAAAAAAATCCACTGCTTTCGTCAAATTTAATGAATAAAAATTGTTAAATATTTTATGGAAACTAAAAGTGTTATCTTTTGACAAATTTAAAGGACTAAAATTATTTAATACATACTTAAAGATACTTTTTTCTACCTACTTTTAAACATAAAAGATAATTTTTGTCATTTACTTAGTTTTATACCTAAATTATTGAGTGTTCACAAAATTTGTTTTAACAACCATGAACTTATTGTGTTACATGATTGAACTCATTTTAAAGACTTCTTATCTATATGTGTTTCTCAACAAGTTATTCTAAATATTTTGCCACATATTCAATCAAAAGGTTTTTTAGACTCCCACCGTTCCATATTAATTGATTATCTTATTAAAATAGTTGTCTCATATTAATTGTTCACTTTATTAAATTAAGAAAGTATTAAATAATTTCTTTCTAATATTATCCTTGCAGTTAATTCTTTTTGAAAGTGTTCACATTTATTTGTAAATTTCTCAAAAAGTTTTTTGAGTGAACTAGTAAACTTATCTTCTTATTTGTTTTTCTTAATACACATGTAAAAAGAAAAATGATAACTAATATTAAGTAAATAAAGTATAATGCGAAGCGGTAAACAAAAATGCCTAATAAATTAAATATGAAACTCGCAAAATGCTAATAATTCATCACTCATAAAACTAATGTATGATTTGTTCTCTTTTTATCCCAGATTCCTGCGATGTTTAACTATGTGTTATAAAAGATTAATAAACGAAATTTCAAAAATTCTTAAATTTTGACTCTCTGCATAATATATTTAAGATCATAAAATTAAAAAATATTTTAATATATTTCGATTATTTACCAATCGAAGGTATGGCGGTTGAGGACGGGCACTTAACTCCACCACCGTCAGAGACTTCGACTTTTATGCATTTTGTTGTAACACGACTACACCATTTGGACCATTTAATTCTGTCCTTATTAAAAATTGATGGTACTAATAGATTTTTTTTATTTTTTATTATTTAATTTTTATACTAAGATTTTATTTTCTTTTTATTTATTTATTTAATTTAGTTAATTGAGAGAAATTTATTATATTTTTAATATTATTTTTATTATTAAATAACCAATAAAGTTAAATTTATTCAAAATATAATTAATAAAATTAATTTAATAATTTTTAAAAAAAAAATACTTTCTTAAAAAGTTTATCAAGCCACTATGACATTAGTGATATGAAATATAAGGAGCAATTGTTCTTTTAAAATATTAGGATGTTGTATATATTCTTCCAATTATTTTATCTTTATCTTTAGTAATAATTGTGTTGGAAAGTTATAATATTGACTAATTAATATATAAAACATGAGTGAAGAGACAAAGAGCACATACACATATTTCAATATTTACAATTTCTTAGATTAACTTTTTTTTTATTTATTAAAAAAATAGTTATTGAAAAGAAATCAATTTTTAAATAATTAAAAATAATATAATAATTAAAATACATTTTTATGAGAAGTTTTAAACAAATAATATAGCCATAATAATATTTTTTTTTAGATATTTACAAAAATTATAATAAAACGAAGAGGAAAATTAAAATTTAGTAAGAGCTGAACATGTTAAGCTATGACTTATGACCTATTGTTTAACTCACTCTAATTCAAACTCATTTTAGCTTAAGAAGCTGTGAGTCATTCTCATATGGGAAGGAATAAAAATTTGTCCTTCAAATATGTGGGTTTTAATTTTGTCTCTTAAATATGTAGTCTTTAATTTTTTTTGCTTCGAAACTTTAAGAAATAAAAAATAATTGAAAATATCCCTAACATTGAAATAAAAAAGCAATAAGTTTATATGTAATGTTTACAATATAATATTCATCAAGTTATGTCATACTACATAATTTTATTCCTATAAAATTTATGTTGAGCGAGACAAAAGTCTAGTAAAATTAAAGATTTTTTTTGATTTAAGCGGGATAAGTTTTGGTGTATATTTATATTTTTCAGAAGACAAATCAAATATATCTATATATGTAGTACAATTCTTTTACAAAGAGGATTCATACGGATCCTCTTGATACTAGGTAGGTTTGTCCTTGTGTATAAGGTAAGTATATATGGTTAGTAATTCTAGGATTAATAATACGAAATTAGTTATATTCAGACTATTTTTTATCATGGTATAATTTAGTGTATTAAGAATAGTTTTGTTCTTAGTCATACTTATCCATTTATTAATAGCATGTGTATACTTTAATTTTCTTTTCTCTTTTTAAATTATTTTTTATAATTATGGTGGGGAAAAGGGAAATGAAAGAGGGGATTACAATATAGGAAGTCGAACCCTCACTAACAAGGCGAGAGTTTAGGTAGTCATCCAACTAAATTACTAAGATTTCCTCGTGTATTACTAATATCATGGTTTGTTATGTATTAGTTATATACCTTATAATTAAATACTGAATAAGATGTATAACTTATACATATATTAATTATATATAGCTCAAAATTCTATCAAATAAAAAATTAAATAATATCATGACTAACCTATATTAAATTTTCTAAGAAGATTCTATCAAAATAATCA